GCGTATGCAAATGTTACCCATTATTACCAACAAGTGGAAATGATCCAAACGTCCTTCACCTGGTGACTGGATAAGCAAACTCTGCTACATCCACACGGTGGAGTACACTCAGCAATAAAGACCAAGGAGCCACTGACACACGCAGCGACATGGATGCATCTCAAGGCCTTACAGCAAATGAAAGCAGCCAGGTTCAAAAGCCTTCGTATTTTGTGATTCATCTATATGGCACTGTGGTTACAGGAACAGAAAATTGATGGGGCCTGCACAGTGGTGCAGCGGTTAAGTTCACGTGCTCAGCTTTGGTGGCGGGGTTCACAGGTTCGGATCCTGGGCATCCATCTACGCACCACTCATCAAGCCATGCTGTGGCAGACATCCCACATATAAAGTAAAAGAAGATGGGCATGGATGTTAGCTCAGGGCCAGTCTTCCTCAGCAAAAAGAGGAGGATTGGACGTGGATATTAGCTCAGGGCTAATCTTCTGCAGGAGGAAAAAAAAGAAGAAAATTGATGAATGGTTGCCATGGGCTGGGGGTAGGAAGAGGAGTTGGCTACAAGGAGCACAAAGAAATCTTGCAGGTAATGATAATGTTCTATACTTTGATTGTGGTGGTGGTTGCACAATTGTATGTGTGTCACAACTCATAGAACTCTAGATTTAAAAAAGGCAAATTTTACTGTACATAAAGTATACTTTAATTTAAAAATACTTAAAAACAAAAATAAGCAATGTCTTAAGCCCAAATGATAGTATATAGCTACTCTACAAGACTTTAAGAATGGGAAACAAAAATCTGGCAAGGAAACAAAAGTCACTCACATCTGTACTCTCAAAAAAACAACAAACCACCATAAAAATAAGCCTAATTTTCAAATCTGACTTTGAGGTCTATTATGAGGTTCCATTATGGCATGGAAACTTGGGACTAATACTCAGAAGGCAAAGGGCCAGTGCCCAACATGGTCTGATGCATCATGTCATCCAGTCTGAAGAGATAAACTACTACAGTGACTCAGGATGACTGCTCCAGATCCACAAGCACGAAGAAGCCAACAGTATCTTCTTAATCCCTCTTGCCTTGGGTCCTGACACTAAGCAGAACTCATCAATTTATAGGGTGAGGCAAAAGTCACTTCACAGACGGAGCTGTAAGAGGAATAAGTAACGAACTTGGAACAAAAGAGAAAGGGTTAAGAATGCAAGTTTTACACAGGGACAAAGAGAACAGACTAGGGGTTACCAGGGGGAACGGGGTGGGGGTGGGCACAAAGGGTGAAGAGGCACACCTATAAGATGATGACAAATAATAATGTACAACTGAAATTTCACAATGTTGTAAACTATCATAACTTCAATAAAAAAAACAAGAACGCAAGCTTTACTTTGCCATACAAGTCAGCATACACACATGCTGTTTTGTATTCAACACACTCTATCACCTTAGCCGTCCTCTGTCTCACTCTGAATATAAATTTCTTTGCTTCTCATCTGTCCCTATCCCTACCTGTGTTCCAGAGAAATGGATAATTTTATTCTCTGACACTACAGGGTCAGACTGGGGCAGCTCTAGAATGACAGAGGCTACTAGGAGTAGAATTTCAGTCTGGGGTGACCCTGAGGGTCCAAACTTGGACTTGGAAACGTTACAAAACCCACCTGAATTTGTGAGTCAAGTGTAGAAGCACCGTAGTCTCCCAGGTGCCCCTGCAAGGGGAGACTGTGCAGACGGGTCCAGAGACAGGATCTGTGTGGAAGGACCTGAGCATCCTCCACCACACTCAGAACAGGTGTAAGTGCCAATCCTATACATTCTGAAGGAAGATGCAGGCATTGGTTTCAACAAATCCCAGAAAATCTCCTTTCTGAAAGTCAGCACTTGCCTCTTACAGCAGACCAGTAACTTGGCAGATACAGTTTTAAGAGCACGTATCTAGACCCAGCCAGCCCTAGGGGTCTGGGAGTTAAGAGCCGGCACCCTCACTGCTGCAGCCCGGGTTCATTTCTCAGTCAGAGAACCAACCCCCCATGTGATAGTTGTCATACTGCGGTGGCTGTGTGTTGCTGTGATGCTGAAAGCTATGCCACCAGGATTTCAAATACCAGCAGGGTCACCCACGGTGGACAGGTTTCAGTGCAGCTTCCAGACTAGACAGACTAGGAAGAAGGACCTGGTCACCCACTTCCAAAAAATTGGCCATGAAAACCCTTTAAATCGCAGAGGAACATAACCTGATGTGGCCCTGGAAGAAGAGAGGATGGTGCAAAAAGACCGGGCAGGGTTCTGCTCTGCTGCACACGGGAGGATCCCTAGGAGTTGAAATCGACACCACGATACACAACAACAACATCTAGACCCAGAGCGCCCAAAGGCACGATGCTAAGGATACCAAGAAGATAGGTGCTAATGATCAACCTTGCAAAACAAATAAATAAAAAGAAATTTTAAGAAGTAGCAGCCCACCCAGAATTATTAACTCACACTTCATGCCCTATAACGTACACACATAAATAAAACGGGAACTCCTCTGTGAGCAAACAAGTGCTTTGGGATCAACGTTTTGTCACTGAAGACTCTAGGACACTGGGGCATACATGCCAGAGCCTAAGTTACTTGCCCTCGTTTAGTCAGTCTGTGTAAGTCCCCCAGGCTTTCATGAGAGCAGGCCTAACCTTTGAGACACTTCTCACCCCAGTCTATTTCCACCATTATTAACAGGCCCCCGGTGCTTATTATCTTTGACTCAAGCACCTCGTGGCCTAAGCAAAGGCTGCCAAGAAAAGAAGGTCTCTAAGTCAAAAGTGGCATCAAGGCACCACAACCTGAAGTGCCAATCATCTACTGTGACCTTGTGGGAGGAGGAGAAAAATCGTCCCCCAGTATCACCTGGGGGCTTCTTCCAACACGCCAAGATGATAACCACAGTTGGTCAAGAGGCCAAGGCCGCAACAAAAGAGAGAAAGGAAGCACTTATCCTGATAATTCACATCATGCTTGTATAACAGACGGATATTTTAACTAAATAATTCAGATACTTGTACCACTCTCCATTTCTCAAAAGGACAGTCAGTCATAAAGTAGGTTGTTCAGCTACTGGAGGCTCCAGTCTCACATTTGGAAAATAATCTTTGATGTACCTCAAGGGTTCTTCAGACCACAGAGAAACACTGTAACCCTGTGGAAACTGACTTGTAAACGGGCTCCTGAGCCAATAAAGGCCCCTTGTCTTGATTCAAACAAAAAGACGGTTTCTCAACAGAAGGTTTGTTTGACCCCAAATCTTCGAGTAGCTTAGTCTTTAGCTGAATTTGTCTAGTATTGAGTATACCTATTCAGTTTAACTCACAGCCAGTCCTGTACGTAGGGAGGAATGCCTATGCTGCATTTGCAGGTGTTTAAAAAAAAATTCCATAGCTGACGTCTCCTTCCTCTCCTATTTCCAGAGACAAGTGAAGGTGAGGATCGTATTAAATGAGAGAAGTTGCACTTCACCATCTGGGGGCTAGTTAAGAGAGAAGGAAAGGCACCAAGGAGGTCAGTGTCAGGAGAAGGGATCAGAAAAGTGGCCCCTGCTATGGCAAGGGGGATCTACCAAGAGTGACCTCAAAGTAGGTGCTTTTCTAAGGGTGTGATTAAAATGTGTATGGCTAGCAGAGTCACCCTAAAAAAAACAGGGCTACTGAGTTTCACTAAGAAAACTGCGCTTTGACAGTACAGTGAGTGATTCAATAAAGGCACACGCAACTAGAAAGCTGGCTTCCATTTCTCCGTCCTCTAGGAACCCAGGAAACGGTTTCTTCCAGAATACAGATTTCAAACTCCTTAACAACCCAAACACATTTAAAGAAATAAAAACACCTTCAGAGAGAGTTCAGAAATTTAAAATAATGAATGCAGCCCTCCTGGCATCTATCTTATTTATATTCAGCACCTTATCAGGTGGGATATAAAGCTTTGGAATTTAAATCTGAAAAATCCATGCCTGAGGGCAACTTCCCTCCTTTCTAATCTTGCACAAGTAACAATCTTCTGAGCTTCAGATTCCTCGTCCGTAAAATGAGAGTAACACTCCCCACCGCACCTACTTCACAAAATCACCGCTGACACGCGTATAAAATAATTCTTAAACAGCAAAGGACTATTCAAATGCCGGCTAATCCATTCAGGGAAGTGGTATGACACAACAGAGAATTATTATTTAGAAGTGGATTCTCGTGCCAACACATTCACTTTGCACAGACCGCAGAAGAAAAAGAGGAAAGATTAAGAGTGGGTGTCCCGCTCTCCGCTCCCCAAAATAACTGATGAGGTTCCCTCTGGGGAGGGAGGGTGGAGCCAGTTACGACAGTCAGTATATATAGAATGCTGTCGCACACAGGAGAGAAGGAGAGGTGTTATCAGCAAGCAGAGAACTGTCAAGTTCCCCACGAGCCACACACTCTAGCCATATATAGGGCGTGCGCTCTCTACAGAGGCCACCCCACAACGTGAACCCAAGCGACTCGGGGGGCTGGCTCTCCATAGCAAGCCCTTAGGGAGGGAAACTGCAAAGAGAAAACAGGACCCCACGGCGAGGAGGGCAGGGGCGTCCCGGGGGTTACAGCCTGCGCGACACAAACTGTGAATCACAAGTGAGCAAAACAAGAGGCGCGGGCTCACACGGCTCGCCCCGACCCCGCACGAACAGGGCTTTAGGACCTAAAACATTCTAGGATGCGGCCGCCCCAGCGGAACACTGAACTTTCCGAAAGGCCCCCGGGCAGACGACGCTGCCACGCCCACGAGGGACACAGTGTCAGGCACCCCGACCCGCGCGAGTGAGGACTGGGGAGCCCCGGGGACACCGGGGACCCAACCACCGGTCACCATGGCAACCGGGCAGGCGGAGGGAAATACAAACCCTGCCCGGCGGCGGGCGACACGGCCCCCGGGGGCGAGCCGGCCGGTGACACCGCGGCCCGAGTGCCCCCCCCGGCCGGACCCCGGGAGCCGGTTACCTGGTGCAGGGCGGTCAGGCCGTCCACGTTGACCGTGTCCACGTCCGCGCCCCGCGCCAGCAGCCTCCGCACCTCGTCCGTGTCCCCGCTCGAGCACGCGGCCAGGAACACAGCCCCGTCCTCGAAGCGCACCCGCGGGCTCCCGCGCCGCGCCCCCGGCCGCCGCCCGGCGCCCCGGGGCTCGGCGGGCTCCTGCTCCGTGGGCGAGCCCCGCCAGCGCCGCAGCTGCTCGGCCCGCCGCGCCCGCGCCGACTCGGCGCGCTTCCCGCCCAGGTGCTCCAGCTCCGCCATGGCTCGCGCCCGCCGCCGCCGCCCTCCCGCCCCACGCCGCGCGGGCCGCTCGGGTCGTCCGGCCGCCCCTCAGAGCGCCTCAGCCGGGAGCAGAGGGCGGAGACGCGCGCGCCGCCATCTTTACTCCTCCCGCCCGGCCCCGCCCGCGCGCCTCGGCGTCCACACGCACGCGCGGCCGCTCCTGGGCCTCGCGGGACTTGTAGTGAGCGCCTCCGCCGCCTTCGGGACTACAAGTCCCGGGATGCAGCGGGGCGGGGGGCGCGCCGGCGGCTGTGCCCGAGCGGCGCCAACCTCTCCGGACACTTGGAAGTCGTCGTTTATTCTTGTTGTGACGCCCACTCAGCTTGGCTCCCTGATGATCACATCGGTCCTTCGAAGTAGAAGAGGGGTAGTAATTACTCCTAGTTTCATAAAGTACTTGAATGACGCAAATCCATGACTTGGTTCTAAATCTACGGTTTTATTCCCATTATCACGTATAATCCATTAACGTGTACTGATAATGTAAACGTAAATGTGCGTGGGGAGGAGGGGCATGCACAGACACAGACACAGACACAGTTACATATTACACATGAATGTTTCAACGTGACATTTATATTCCAGGCCCCGAAAAGATCCTGCAAAGGATGCGTCCAGGTCTAGTGGGAAGAGCATAAATTTAGATTGAATTCACGTCCCTAGACAAGCGACTTGACGTCTCCGAGGCTGTTTCCTTATTTGTAAAGTGGGAATAACAGGGTAGTAGTGTGGACTAAATGAGATAATGCTGTATATACGAGGATACCCAGTACCCTAGCATATATCGGCTCACAATAAATATTAATTTCCCTTCTTCCTTCCTCCTCCTTCTGTACCCTTTCCATGGATCTTAAATTCTTAGGAGACAGAATGGATGTCTCGTCACCCATGATTTTTTTCCCCAAAGCTACAAAAACATACTACGGAGCATCCTAAACTCCTAAGACAGCAAGTAGGACATTCTCATACAAACCGTGAACTTGATTACAATACCTATCAGATCGATGTAATAACTATACGTCCCAAGGCCTTAGCCCTGGACAAAATATAATTAAATGTGTTATCTATATTGAAAGAGAACATAGACAATTATTAGGTTCTTTAAATTTTTCTGTATTGGTTTGAAATTTTTCATTAAAAAATACCGCAAAAATGATTAGGTCATTGTAAAGGGAAACTTTATTATATTCTATCACCTGAACATTTGCCTGTGCCTCAATTTCCCGGGGTGAACTGAGGATCAAATGAAAAGTGACATATAAATGCAAAATATTATGTTTAATAATGTTGTCTATCCGCAATATGCTTTAATTAGGTATTTGTAAATACTTTATAAATAGTAATTGTCTTACAGCATCTTTGTGAACTGTGAATAACAATGTGATTAAAAATAAGGTGTAATAATGTATAGTTTATACAGCCTTGTTTACCTTGCTATGTCCATTAATTCACAGTCACCATAGAACGTGTCACGCATCATCATTCATTGCAATTAAAAATTCTGTATGAGTTTTACTTTGGAACTTGTCAACATGGAACCCCTTATTATTCCCACTCAGCCTCTTGCTGATAATTAAAATTGCCCACAAACTCTAAAATAGAACTCTCCCTATAGGATAAAAGAAACACTGATATCCAATAAAATAGGAAATGGTACTCAGCTAGAAGCCTAACTCTCTTCAAGAGACATAAGCTTAACTCTGCCAATCTGGCAAGGAAGTCAAAACGTGAGAGAGGAGCAAGGCTTTGGCAGAAAGCAAATTGCTGAAATTTCAGGAAGCACTTCTCTGACAGCAACCCATATGCATCATTTCCATATTATGCTCCTGGTACACCATAGCTGCTCAAAAAAAGTATGTATCATGGAACTGTATTATTTTACTGACATACTGGTTTTCTAATAAGGATTTTTACACTAGGGTAAAACTTTCAGGAATCAATAATGTTACATTTCTTATGGCTGTGTTCTTTTTGCATTCAAAATCAGAAAAGAAGAACTGTCTGGTTCCAGGTGTATAAATAAGCTAAAATTGGCTAAGCCCAGGTTAAATCCTTGCTTTCCCAAGAGTTGTGAACTTAAATTTCAACAGGAAGAAATTCCGTCTCAGGAAGAACTTCCTTACCATATCTAATTTGCTTTTTTCCCCCTGAGGTAGTTAAGAGTGTAGTATCGTCTTTGCAGATTTTTTTAAAAATATAAGTAGCTAAGATCCTTGGATAATTTAAATGCATACCCACCTGGAAGGAGAAGAATGTATTTTTCAGCTACGCGATTACAGAAAGCAGTAATAACTATTATAATCTGATTAACTGGTTCAGCCAAAAGAAAATTTATGCCACAAAAAATACAACAAATTAATGTATGTATAATCGTTTGAAAAAAAAGTTTTTCAAAATTAAAATCATGTAAGTTTTTCTGAAACATCTTCCCCCAACCACGGCTCTCTGAAAGCAAACTTATACAATCAGCTCATTAAACAAACATGATAGTTTAGGTTTCCCATATAAATACTCTAAAGAAAATATATTTTATATACAAGTATATCCTGACAAATAATCCTGTGTATTAATAAAATACAATTTTTGTACTTTTAAATGCACTGAGCTTGCTATGCTGCATATAAATTCTGATATAAAGTGATGAAATTTTTATTAAATAATAATTCTCCACATCTGCACTTAAAAAAATAAATTACAATATTAGAATACTCCGTTTTTAAAAGCAATGACACCTGCACACAGTTTACGAAAATCTTTCGGCCTGGCCTCTATTCCCTCCAGTTAACATACCGCCCTCTGGTGGACAAATGGAAACTGTACATTTAGCCCACGGAGTTCTTTTGATTTTCTTCTTCCTTAACCAATCCTTTCTTTTGGTTGTCAAAACTATAGCTATTTGCTTGTTTTACAGGCCATCTCTCCCTTCCATCAGACTCAATACAGTTCCCACTTTTTCTAAAAGATATTTTTAAGCCTCCTTTCTCCGAGAACCACCCGAGAAAGTAATCAATTTCAGTTCTGAGGACAGAACTTTAATTAAGATACAATTACAACTGGGATAGGAAGAAAATCAGAGACGACATTGAAGGGATTAAAACACAAAGTAGCAGTAGTAAAACAAGCAGCAACGTCCAGAATTACAACAGGAAACACTTCACTACAATTAGTTAATGCTAACAATAAACCAAAACCCCAACAGCTAACTGGAAATTAGGCTGGACAGTAAAAGGACGCGTTATACTCGTAACTCAGAAGCTACTTTAGTTGGTTCATTCCTACGACCAGCGAGGATCCCCAGCGTAGAACCCCAGACAGAGTCCTGGTGAATGTGTGGGTCACTGGAGGAGAGAGAACATACCTTGCAGTAGTCACGGGGAACCAGTTGCCACTTAACACCAATTTGAACTAAATGCAGAAATCACTGCAGTGGCCAAAATTCTACTGGTGTGTAAGTTTAGGAAGACTGGCCATTACTCCTACGCCATCACTGTTCCAAAGCCACATGATGAGCTGAGAGCAGCGAGATGAGGGCTTAGTGCGGTTTTTTTCCACCCACAGCATTCCCAAAGGCTTGTCAAGTTCCAGCCACGTCCTTTAGATTCAAGTCAGGTCATGGAGCATGCACCACTGGCAGAGGAACCTTCGAGAAGTCAAGGCTGGCTCAGCTATGACCGGGTACTTCCTTGGTCAGGTGGGACCACACTTTTAGAGTCGGAAGAAGGCTTGAAAGTCATCTCTTCCAAACTCCACCCAATGCGAGCATCCCTCCCGCGCCATCCCTAACTAACTTCCAGCGATGGGAGACTTGACTACCTCCCAGGTTGACCAGTTCTGTTCTTCGGAGTTCTAACTGCTAGAATGCCTTATTGAGCCAAATTCTGCATCCCTTTCACCTTCATCCACCGGTCTTAGACGCGTCCCCTGAAGCAGGAAACTCTTCCAGGTGAAAAATGCTTAAAACAAATGAAGAGAAGCATCACGTACGCCCTTCCGCACATCAAGCATCTCCGTTTCCTTTCGCTGTTTCTCCTTTGAGTGATTTCCAGCTCCTTCCCTGCGCTGACAAGCAGAGCCGACCGCGTAACCGAACGTGGAACCGCACGGGTCCCCAGACACAGTGCAGCCGCCGCAGCGCCCGCGGGCGTCTCTGCACGGCCACGTGGGCGCGGTGGACGCCCCGGGCGCGCGCTCCGATTCGAAAGCTGCATGGGCTGGGGCCGGGTCGGAACGCTGACCAATAGGAGGCCGCGCTCGTCTCCCGGAACTGCTGCGGGCCAATCGCAGTCTCGCGGGCGGGAGGCGGGGCGACCCAACCGCCCGGGCTCGCGCAGGCGCCGTAGCCGCCAGTTCACTGGCCGCTGCGTTGCGAGAGGAGCGCGCAGGTGAGGAGGGGGTTCCCGGCGGAGGTCACTGTGTCGGGGCAGGGAGCCCCGGTTCTGCCTGGCGTGGGGGTGTCCTCCCTGCGGAAGGGAGCCCGAGAAGGCGCGGTGGAGCGGAGGCGCGGACGACACGTCGGGTCGTGGAGGCCGGCGCCCGCGAGCCGCCCTCCCGCCGCGGCCGGAGCTGCTCCCACGGAGGAGGGCGCGGGCGCTCGCCGTGGGCCTGCGTGCGTGTGCGTGTTCCTGCGTGTGCGTCGCGCGCCCGCGCCCCGCGCTCTGCTGTCCGGACTTTCCTCAGTTACCTCAGACTGCTCGCGGCGGCGTCGGTGCTTTAAACACAGAACTTGGAGGACAAGGGAGGTTCCTCCCGCAGGTGTGAGAGAGAGACGCTCGTCCCGCAGGTGTGATGGGGGAGAGACGCTCGTCCCGCAGGTGTGATGGGGGAGAGACGCTCGTCCCGCAGGTGTGAGAGAGAGGGACGCTCGTCCCGCAGGTGTGAGAGAGAGGGACGCTCGTCCCTCAGGTGTGATGGGGGAGAGACGCTCGTCCCGCAGGTGTGAGAGAGGGAGATGCTCGTCCCGCAGGTGTGAGAGAGAGGGACGCTCGTCCCTCAGGTGTGAGAGAGAGACGCTCGTCCCGCAGGTGTGATAGGGTCAGGGACGCTTGTCCCGCAGGTGTGATGGGGCAGAGACACTC